CGTGTGCGCGGCGCGTGCTTTTTTTGCTGCGGGTGCGCGGCGCGTTGTTTTTTTGCTGCGTGTGCGCGGTGCGTTTTTTTTGCTGCGGGTGCGCGGCGCGTTTTTTTTTGCTCGGTGTGCGCGGCGCGTCTTTTTTTGCTGCGGGTGAGGGGCGCTTTTTTTTTCTGCTGCGAGTGCGCGGCGCGTGCTTGTTTTATTCTGCGGGCTTTGCGTTTTGCTGCTCTTGCGTTGCGCTTTGTGTTTGTTTTGCTGCAGGTGCGCCCGTTTTTTGTGGCCGCGGGTGTGTTGCGCGGTTTGCTTTTTACTGCGGGTGCCGGGGGGCCGTGGCGGTTGGATGCGGAAGCCAGGGCGTGCGTTTTTTCGTCTGGGTGCGGGGGCGCGCTGGGCCTGAGGAGGTGCGTCTGCGTTTGGGTTGCAGATGGTTGCAGTCTCATGCTACAGGGCGTAGGGCTTCAAGTCGCGAGATCAAGGTTGAAGGTTTTCAAGTCTTGTCCGCGACCTTGCGTATTCCGGGTCACGGGCCCTAGGGTGGCAAAAAGGCCTGGAAGCGGGAGCGAGTACACTTGTCATCTGGGCGGGTCAAGGACCAGCAGCACTGGATTGGCTTTGATCTTGAGCGTACATGGGAAGGGGCGGTTGCAAAACAGCCACAAACACCACTGGGCACCAGGAGCATCGAAGATATAGATTCTGTGGCAAGTTGTCTGTGTTCTTGGAACAACGATGGTAACCGTTCAAAGAGATCGAGCGTTAAAAAAATGGCTTGGTGGGCTTGGCTTGGTTTGAGCGGAAACGGGGGGTTGGGGGGAGGGGGCAAGCCCCGCAAGCACACACCATAACTATCCTGCTGCAATGTGCAGATTTTTGTGGCTTTTTGTAGAGCGATGGCCCGGAGATGCACAAAGTGTACATGGGAGCGGGTGGTTTCAAGACGGCCACGAAACCGACTGGGCTCCAGGCGCGTCGAAGATATAGATTCTGTGGCAAGTTGTCTGTGTTCGTGTAACAGGGATGGCAAATGTTCACAAAAAAAGGCGCCGTTAAACAAAATGGCTTGGCTTGGCTTGGCTTGGTTTGAGCGGGGGTAGGGGGCACACACCATCTCTGTCCTGCTGCGATGTACAGGTTTTTGTGGCTTTTTGTGGAGCGATGGCACGGAGATGCACTGAGTGTACATGGGAGCTGCCTTCGCCTGAGGACCACGTATGGGGAATCCAATGGGTCCCCCGGGACCTGGGGGGGGGGCGGTTATTTTTTTGCTGCGGGTGTGCGGCCCGTTTTGTTTTGCTGTGGGTGCGCCCTGCCCGGGGCTGGGGGGGTTAGGCGGAATCCAGGCCAGCCGGGGGGGGCGCGTTTTTTTTTTTGCTGCGGGTGCGCGGGGCGTTTTTTTTGCTGTGGGTACGCCCTTGCCCGGGGCTGGGGGGAATCCAGTGCGGCGTGGGCCGGCCAGCAGCGGGGCGCGTTTTTTTTTTTGCTGCGGGTGCGCGGGGCGTTTTTTTCTTTGCTGTGGGTACGCCCTTGCCCGGGGCTGGGTGGAATCCAGTGCGGCGTGGGCCGGCCAGCAGCGGGGCGCGTTTTTTTTTTTGCTGCGGGTGCGTGGGGCGTTTTTTTCTTTGCTGTGGGTACGCCCTTGCCCGGGGCTGGGGGGTTAGGCATGGTTAGGCAGAATCCAGTGGGGCGTGGGCTGGCCAGCCGGGCCGGGGAGGTGAAGCAGGGCAGGGGGAGGCGAAGAAGGGCACGGATAGGCGAAGAAAGGCAGGGGGAGGCGAAGCAAGGCAGGGGCACGTTTCTTTTTTTGCTGCGGGTGCGCGGCGCGTTTTTGTGCTGTGCGCGAGCTCACTCACTCACTCACGCGCTGCCGGCCGCCCGGAGAGCACCAACAGCAAAAACGCACCCACAACAAAAAACAAAAACACGGGTTCCCGGCTGCAGCCTTGAACCCAAACCCGCGACGCTCATGCCTGCGCTTCCCCAGCCCTGGAAGCAAAAACTTGAATCGCAAGTTTCGAAACAAGCCCCAACAACCCAATTTTGTCACACCGGACGCCGAGAGGCCTTCTTCAACGGCCGGCCAGATTTCCACCTGCCCACCAGAATCTGCCAAACATAGTGTTCTCTCTGTCCTCGCGGTCCCCGGCCTGGCTGAGGCGTCGATCCAGCCGCAGCATCCCCTGTGCAAGGATGTGCAAGGTAAATCGCCGTCTGGGAGTTTAGGGCTGGGCTTGAAACTGAATCTCGGAATGGATCAGGAGTGGTGATAAGACATGCAAGGGAGGCAAGGTATTACCTGAATGTCTCGAAACAATCATAACATAAAGCAAACCGCCAACAACAAACACAGAATCAGAAAACTTCGACGAAGTGCACTCCCACAGCCGCCCGGACTCCAAATATGTACGTATGTATGCATGTCGTATGAATGCGTGAATGTACGGAATATACTGCTTGTTATAGCTCAAGACATGTACAGCTACAGTGCTTCAAGATATATCTGAAAAAGCGCTCGCAGAGCAGCCTGCAGACTCTAGTCGGCGTTCCTAAACGGATGATGGGCCTGAAAGTTACCGGTACCCTCCTCCGACTCCTGGATGCTCACCTGGCAAGCTGATCTTTTCAGATCTATCAGGGTTTATAGGGCTTCGTCCAGCAGCCCTGTGCAGCGCAGCAATAGCTGAAAGGAAGCTCCACCCATGCACCCTGCAAATCAAGTCCATCGAGGTGCGAAACAGCTTGTAGTCAGTGCAAACAAGTCAGGAGACACTGCCCTAAACCCTGTGCCAGATCTCGGCCTCTACTGGCAAGCCAGGGCCAACGGCATCGTGTGCGAAGTCCCGGATCAGACGCTGGCGTGCAGGACGGGTGCTCATGAGCTTCGGAGATTACACGGAGCTGCAGTCGAAGCCTGGAGATCTTCGATTGCAACATGCAACTTAGCTTTGTAGACGTTGGTGAAGATCTTTCGGACTGCTACTGCGGAGGTCGCGGGTCTTGGACGACCTCCCACTCGGGAAATGCTCTCTTTGGAACTCCAACCTGGAGCCGTTGCTTCGCTGTCTCCCTGTCGTCCTGGTACGGTGGCAGAACAACTGCTAGTAGTCGTCGTAGTAGTAGTAGTAGTTGTTGTTGTTGCAGCAGCAGCAGCAGCAGTAGAGGTAGTAGTGGTAGCGGTACCTGTAGCGGTAGTGGTATTGTGGACATGCTTGTGCATAGTCGCTCGAGAACACCAGGGTACAAAATGTTCGATTCGAAACTCGAGGCTCTGAGCAGGGCTTTCAGATGGTGGTTGTGTCATTGGCGATCGCACTCTTCTGCACTTTTCAGTGCTGTCGATGATCGTTTATAGGACCGCGAACCCTCTGTCTGAGCAGCCCTGTGCTCGACGGCCTCCTGAGTAGCATCAATAGGCGCACGAGCACTGAAGGCGCTGATGTGCCTGGCAAAAGAGGCTAGCTGTTGGTCAGTAGCCTTCTCAGCAGAAAGGGGTTCAAGCTTGGGGCGATAGCTGCTGAGCTTAGGAGACACGGGTTGAGGCGGTGTCAGAAGAGGTTTGGCAAGGGCTTGCCAGATGCAACATAATGGACTGGTGATCTCTGCGACATGGACTGCAGCAGCTCCTTCTGCCAGTCCCTCCCTATACCAGACATCACAGATCTGCGTCGGAGTCGACTGAATCATCCATCGTTGTGGGCCGTAGTGCTTGTCTGAAGCAAGACTAAGAATGAGAAAAACAAACATCAATCTGCTCTGACGTTCAAGACATGCCGCGATGGCCCTACCGTCTTTTCCTTGTCACCCTGTGCGGCAGAGATGAGGTCTGTGTCACACATCAACGCGCATGAAGACCAAAACCCCAAAGTCTGGCAGAAATTGCCTGTCTCCAAATTTCAATCACACTGCATTCGCCAACTGAAGGTCTCACTTCTCTTGCGCTGCGAGGACGACCAGCCTTCTGGCCAGAGTCGACAACGTCCTGTTGTACAACAGATCAAGGGCGAAGGATAAGGGCATCGCCGTCTGTCTGTGCTCCGCATTTCAGGCTTTGGGCTTCACACGTTCTAGAACGATCTAGAATGCATACTGCTCAGCGGCGGGGCTACGCATTTACTGTCCGAGCGCCTCAACTTTAAGTGGAGAGCTCGTCAGTTGCTTCAGAACTGAAAGAGCCGCAGTGCCTCTCAAAGCTATTCCTTCAATGGACGACGCGAAGCCCTAAGCCGCCTTAGCCAGCCTCGTTATAGCACTCTGCACGACTGTGATGGCTGGGCCCCCGACGGCATTGTCACCGAAGCACAGCTTCGTTTGCCTGGCTGTGCTTGAGGGTAGGACCGTATGAAGCTGCCGAGCCCTGAGGCCTCGGAGCATTCAACTGTCTGCTAGCTGATGTGTCAGAATGAAGATCACCTGAACCCATCCAACTTATCATCACTCGTCCCTGGCAGCGTCACAGTCATGGGCCATGAGCATGCCATGAGCCAAGCTTTCCTTCGCACCCTAGACCATCATCAGACACGTCCTACACAGCCCCGACTCCATGTACATCAGACCGAGCAGCTCATCAGCACAGGTACAGCAGAAGAACATAGTGAGACCTCCGAGAACGAGTATGCAAAGAGCACATGATGGCTTAGCTTGGCTGTATGTGCAGTGTACAAGCAAAAAGATTTCTGGTTTGGAGAGACGGCCGGTGTCCCTGCCTGACCCAAGAAACCGGGAACACCAACACGTCCCCTCACTGTCGCAGAAACATGACGTGTCTCCGCCCACTTCGTACTGAGAGCTTGCTTCGAGGCCCCGGCGCCAGGAGCAGGAAAGCGATTCTCGCAGGCCCCAGACCAGATCAACGCGAGGGGACTTTGCTTCACTTGTGCTGGTTGTGCACGACTAGGATACCGTGATTTGCTGCACATGTTGCGGCTTACACCAGCATTTCGACGGTTGGAACTTCAAAATAACACAGCACGGCAGTACAGCTCTCGAGCCAGCATCCAGCGGTCACGGTTTCAAGAGTCTGGCGGTAAGCAAACATGCACGGCAAAGCTTTATTTCCGCCGAGGCCACAGGCCCAGGCGTCTTGGGGGTTAGCCCAGGTGCCCTCCACCTGCCCGACAGTTTGGACTTTCTCCCCGCCCCCCCCACTTCCCTCACCTCTCTTCTGCTGTCCCTCCGTCCCTTGCCCCCCTCCCTCCCACTTTTGCATCTGCTCTGCTCTTTCACATTACAGAAGCAAGTTGATGAGGTCTGTCACAGTGCTGTGGTCTCCGGCAAGCCGAGGCGGGCGGCGTAGCGTTAAAATTACTCTAGAATCACCATGTTATGCCGACATGTGGTGTTCCTCGCTGACGAGAGGCACAGTCTGCTGCTGTGGCTGCTTGTGCATTTCGGTTACTCCAGCTTTCTCCTGTGTCTGCAGGAACTCTGTCACGGCAGCAACGAAGTGACGCTGCCATCGGGCCTGTCAGATTCCATCTCTCTACGCTCGGAACTTTGAGCTCGAGACCCTGTTGTGATCTGTGACTTTGAAAAAGAACCGCCTGAACTGGTGCAAAACGTCTACGGGGTTTTCAGGTCTTGGGAGCCGACGTCTGCAAACTCCGGCCCGCACTCTTGCGCATCGCACAGAACCAGGCTGCTCGCTTCTCGCACCTGGGAATCATAACCGAAAAGCGGTCGTCTGAACTCGTTGAGAAATCATGAACGACATTGCTTCTTGGAATCGGGGCCTGAAAACAACAAGCCCACGGACCTGAAAGCCCTGAGCCCTCGGCGTAAAGGAAGGGGCACATTTTGTGCAAAGTACCCCAGTGGTGCTCCCGCCGAGCGCGGGCCACACAGTCCCACACATGCTTCAATGCCTTCCTCGGCATTGGACGTGACGGAGGACTCTAGGGCACTGCAGGGCAATGTCAGAAGCTGTCATGTGTGGGGGTCTTAGGGAAGAATGAAGAATGTGGCATAATTACAGTGTCGGAGTCTCAAGATGCATTGGAAGCTTGAAGACATCGCATCTCCACCATCTACTATGAGTCGCCAGACAACAACCTCGAACACCTGCCAATCCACATTGACCCTCCAACAGTTTCATGCTTGCACGATGCCCAGCTGCCTGGCTACCAGCTGCCCACCGAGCAGTCGATGAACCTGACAGCTGATACAACGAAAGCGCTGTTCGACTGACGGTTGTGGAGACGTCGATCCATTCGCGCCTCCGGCACCGCATTCAGTGCCACACACACACCGCGTCCCAGGACGAAGGGCCCCATCTCGAAGGGCCCGTCGCAAACACGGACGGCCTGAAGCAGGAACAGAACCAGTTCGGACCAGACAGCCATAGCCTCTCAGCCGGAGGCCTGGAGAGGACATGCCCCGGCCGCCTCGTCGTCCTGGCACCACATCGCGGTTCCTTCGCCTATCAGCCTCGCAACCTCATATCACTCTCACATCACGCTAGGGCTCAGGAAAAGCAACGAACGCAAGTTCATCTGTTAATGTGCCGGTCGGTTTAGGAATATGGGCTCCTTTAATGCGTTTTCTCCGGGGCTAGTTCCGACCGGTACCAAAAATTTGGGCGGTCTAATTAATGCGTTTTTTTTTGGCTGGGGGGATTTTTGGGGGGCGGGGCTGTGCTGTTTGCTGATGGTCAATCTTAAAGCAGCCACGACCTAAACCCCCACCCAAACCCTAAAACCCTGACCCTGAAGCCCGGAAATCTCTTGCAGAATTGTTTCGCTTAGGGCGTCAGGAATGAGAATCTGTACTACTACTGTACTACTACTGTACTACTATTGTACTATTGTACTGCCACTGCATGCCTTGATTATTGGGGGGGGCTGCTAGGGTGAACCGCCGAATCGGGGATTGGACCCTAGCTCAAAAGAGGCCTCTCCAGTACTAAAGTTTGTATAAAAAATTCAATTTTGGGTCGAATCTGGACTGACCCCCCTTTGGGAAGGGTTTAGGGTTTAGAGTCTGTTAGGGTTTAGGAGTTTAGGATTCGTTAGGGTTTTGGGTTTGTTAGGGTTTAAGGTTCAGGGTTTAACGGTTGTTAGGGTTTAGGGTTTCAGGAGCTGGCTTTATGCTTTGCTTATTGGGGGAATGTGCTCACTGGCTTTATGCTTTGCTTATTGGTATTAGTTCCCCAAACAGTACGGTTTGGGGTTCTCTCCTCAGTAAAAAAGTGGGCCGCGGTGGGTTGGATGGCTGGGCCGCGGCAAACTGGCTGGGCTCCCATTGGGCTCCCTTCATGTTTCCTTTCTGGGCTCCTGCATTGGACGGGTGGGACGCGGCGAAGGACCTGGGCTCCCCTTCACTTCCCTTCATGTTTCCTTTCTGGGCTCCTGACTTGGAACGGTGGGCCGCGGCGAAGGACCTGGGCTCCCATTCACTTCCCTTCATGTTTCCTTTCTGGGCTCCTGGGTTGGACGGGTGGGCCGCGGCGAAGGACCTGCGCTCCCATTCACTTCCCTTCATGTTTCCTTTCTGGGCTCCTGGGTTGGACGAGTGGGCCGCGGCAAAGGACCTGGGCTTTATTGGGCTCCCTTCATGTTTCCTTTCTGGGCTCCTAGGTTGGAGCGGCGAGGAACCTCGGCTCCCATTCACTTCCCTTCAGGTTTCCTTTTTGGGCTCCTGGGTTGGACAGGCGGGCCGCGGCGAAGGACATGGGCTCCCATTCACTTTTCTTCATGTTTGCTTTCTGGACTCCTGGGTTGGACGGGTGGGCCGCGGCAAAGGACCTGGGCTTCATTGGGCTCCCTTCATGTTTCCTTTCTGGGCTCCTGGGTTGGACGGGTGGGCCGCGGCAAAGAACCGCGGCTATCATTGGGTTCCCTTCATGTTTCCTTTGTGGGCTCCTGGGTTGGACGGTTGGGCTGCGGCAAAGGACCTGGGCTCCCATTGGGCTCCATTCATGTTTCCTTTCTGGGCTCCCATTCAGTTCCCTTCATGTTTCCTTTCTGGGCGGGGTTGGACGGGTGGGCCGCGGCAAAGGACTTGAACTATCATTGGGCTTTTCATGTTTCCTTTCTGGGCTCCTGGGTTGGACTCTCGTTGCGCTCCCTTCATGTTTCCTTTTTGGGCTCCTGGGTTGGACGCGTGGGCCACGGCGAAGGACCTGGGCTCCCATTCATTTCCCTTCATGTTTCCTTTCTGGGTTCCTGGGTTGGACGGGTGGGCCGCGGTTCCTTCCTGGGCTCCTGGGTTGGATGGGTGGGCCGCGGCGAAGGACCTGGGCTCCCACTCAGTTCCCTTCAATTAGATTTTGGGCTGGGTTGGACGGGTGGGCCGCGGCAAAGAACCGCGGCTATCATTGGGTTCCCTTCATGTTTCCTTCCTGGGCTCCTGGTTTGGACGGGTGGGCTGCGGCAAAGGACCTGGGCTATCATTGGGCTCCCTTCATGTTTCCTTTCTGGGCTGCTGGGTTGGACCTGGACTCCCGTTGGGCTCCCTTCATGTTTCCTTGGGCCGCGGCAATCCCGTTTACCTCCCTTCATATTTCCGTTCTGGGCTCCTGGATTGGATGGGTGGGCCGCGGCAAAGGGATTGGGCTGCCAATTGGGTTTCCTTCCTGTTTCCTTTCTGGGCTCCTGGGTTGGACGGGCGGGCCGCAGCAGAGGGCCTGAGCTCCCGCTGGGTTCCCTTAATGTTTCCTTTCTGGGCGCCTGGTCTGCCACAAACGTCTACAGCAGAGGCCAGGTATCCGGTATCCTGTCTTGCAAGGCAGCAATGCTGTAACAGTTGTGTGTTTTTCCGTGCGTGGTTTCTGCGGCAGCAAGATCCTGTGGACGACGTTCTTCGTTTTGTCGGCGGAAAAAATCGTCAACGGTTTCGTGTAAAGAAAGATTTTTGTTTGCGATGTAAGCCGACAAACCCCTTCGCTTTTCTTTTTGCCCTGTTTGTGCGGCAAAGTTGCCCGTCTTTCCCGTGCGACAGCCGACCGATCCGTATACTAATCTCTTTTGTGCTTCTTCCACGAACGTCTACAGCAGAGGCAAGCTGTCCTGTCTTGCAAAACGGCAAGGTTGTGACACTTGCGGGAAACTTGCCGCAAGATCCTGTGGACGACGTTCTTCGTTCGGTCTGCGGAAAAATCGTCAATGGTTCCGTGCAAAAGAAGATTTTCGTTCGCCTTATGAGCCGACAAACCTCTTCGCGCTTCTTTTTGCCAAGTTCGCACGGCAAAGTTCCCAATTTGCTCCGTCCGACAGGCGACCGATCCGTATACCAACCTGCTTCGTGCTTCTTCCGCAATCATCTACAGCAAAAGTCAGGTATCCTGTTTTGCAAAGCAGCAATGTTGTAACAGTTAGTTGATCGCATACGACGTTCCCTGTCCTTGTATAGGTAACATGTCTGACTGTGTAGCTTAATGTGCCAATGACATGGTCTTTGGTTCAAGTAATGAGAAAAGAGGTACGCTTGCAGCTTGTGTTCCTCTTCGGGCTGGGCTTCCCTTTTGGGTTTCCTTGCCTTGCCTGGCGATCCTACCCCAATATCGTTGTGCTGCTGTTGAGGGTCGGATTGACTCAGTTGCGGGAAAGTTATGTGTGTGTGTGTGTTCTCCGTGCGTGGTTTCTGCGAAAGTAAGGTCCTGTGGACGACGTTCGTCGTTCGGTCTGTGGAAAAATTCGTCAGTGGTTCCGTGTAAAGAACGATATTTATTTTGCCTCGTAAGCCGAAACACCACTGTGCGGTCTTCTTTTCGCCAAGTTTGCGCAGCAAAGTTCCCACCTTTACCCGTGCGACAGCCAACCGATCCGTAAACCAACCTCTTTTGTGCTTCTCCCACAAACGCCTACAGCAGAGGCCAGGTATCCGGTATCCTGTCTTGCAAGGCAGCAATGTTGTAACAGTTGCGGGGAGGTTGTGTGTTCTTCCGTGCGTGGTTTCTGCGGCAGCAAGATCCTGTGGACGACGTTCTTCGTTTTGTCTGCGGGAAAAATCGTCAATGGATCCGTGTAAAGGGGAACTTGCGTGTTTTTTCCGTGCGTGGTTTCTGCGGCAGCAAGATCCTGTGGATCTTCGCACGGTCTGCGGACAAAACCGTGAATGGTTCCGTGTAAAGAAGGTTTGTGTTTGCGATGTAAGCCGACAAAGCCCTTTGCGTTTCTTTTTGCCAAGTTTGCGCGGCAAAGTTCCTACCTTTTCCCGTGTGGCAGCCAACCGATCTGTACACCAACCCCTTTCGTGCTTCTTCCACAGACGTCTACAGCAGAGGCCACATATCCTGTCTCGCAAAATGGCAATGTTGCGTGTTTTTTCCGTGCGTGGTTTCTGCGGCAGCAAGATCCTGTGGACGACGTTCTTCGTTTTGTCTGCGGAAAAAATCGTCAACGGTTTCGTGTAAAGAAAGATTTTTGTTTGCGATGTAAGCCGACAAACCCCTTCGCTTTTCTTTTTGCCCTGTTTGTGCGGCAAAGTTGCCCGTCTTTCCCGTGCGACAGCCGACCGATCCGTATACTAATCTCTTTTGTGCTTCTTCCACGAACGTCTACAGCAGAGGCAAGGTGTCCTGTCTTGCAAAACGGCAAGCGGTTGTGACACTTGCGGGAAACTTGCCGCAAGATCCTGTGGACGACGTTCTTCGTTCGGTCTGCGGAAAAATCGTCAATGGCTCCGTGCAAAAGAAGATTTTCGTTCGCCTTATGAGCCGACAAACCTCTTCGCACTTCTTTTTGCCAAGTTTGCACGGCAAAGTTCCCAATTTGCTCCGTCCGACAGGCGACCGATCCGTATACCAACCTGCTTCGTGCTTCTTCCGCAATCATCTACAGCAAAAGTCAGGTATCCTGTTTTGCAAAGCAGCAATGTTGTAACAGTTAGTTGATCGAACACGACGTTCCCTGTCCTTGTATAGGTAACATGTCTGACTGTGTAGCTTAATGTGCCAATGACATGGTCTTTGGTTCAAGTAATGAGAAAAGAGGTACGCTTGCAGCTTGTGTTCCTCTTCGGGCTGGGCTTCCCTTTTGGGTTTCCTTGCCTTGCCTGGCGATCCTACCCCAATATCGTTGTGCTGCTGTTGAGGGTCGGATTGACTCAGTTGCGGGAAAGTTATGTGTGTGTGTGTGTGTGTTCTCCGTGCGTGGTTTCTGCGGAGGTAAGATCCTGTGGACGAAGTTCTTCGTTCGGTCTGTGGAAAATTTCGTCAGTGGTTCCGTGTAAAGAACGATATTTATTTTGCCTTGTAAGCTGAAACACCACTGTGCGGTCTTTTTTTCGCCAAGTTTGCGCGGCAAGGTTCCCACTTTTCCCCGTGCGACAGCCAACCGATCCGTAAACCAACCTCTTTTGTGCTTCTTCCACAAACGTCTACAGCAGAGGCCAGGTATCCGGTATGTTGTCTTGCAAGGCAGCAATGTTGTAAC